TTGCATCTTTTAGCCTTTAAAAGCTAGACAGAGTTACACACATGTGTTGTTAAAAATAGTTTTTATTACTTATTCAGGTGTATTTTATGAAGGATTCCGCCAAAATCCATTTCTCGACAGGTGTGTGTGTATATGTGTGTAACTAATCAAGCTCCACACACAACAATTGTATTTGACCTCATTAGTCTTACCAGACCAAACTTTCAAGTTTACATAGACTTTTAAACGAACATTTGTTCTATATACAATTGAAATTAATATTTCAACAGTTTATCCAGACTTTTATTGTTGTGGGAACAAGTTATTCCAACATTTTGGAGTTTGTTTTAAATTTTATGTTGATTTGAAATAATATTACGGTTGTTCAATCAGTGCTCGGGTATAAAAGGATGAAGTGATTTTTTTTTAATATAAAGCGGTTCGTTTCGGCAGTATTGTGATGTAAGGATCAGCCACACGCCGGGTTTGACATGGTCTTATTACTTTTGGGTTATACTTTCTGTCGTCTATGATACGCACCTGTTATTCACAGAAAACGAATATAAAGTTGTTCGTAGACTGTCATATTATTTGTGTGTAAATCTAAACTAATATTATAATTGCGAAAGTAACTCTGTCTGTCGGTCTGTTTTTTCTTCGCGTCTATACTACTGACCCGATTTCTGTGAAATTTAGATCAGACATAGTTTGGAACTCAAGAAAGGTCATAGGATTTATATCAAAAATCTGCAGGAGTCACTATTCCACGCGAACGGAGTCGCGGGTAAAAGTTGGGAGTTTAATAATACGTAAGTTTAAACCCTTGTCGTGGTGGCCCGGAGGTTAAGGAGCCCGCTTCTCATGCATGAGGGTGTGGGTTCGAAACCTGGCAAGTACCAATGTGACTTTTTCCGAGTCATATGTACTTTCTATGATTAAATAGACACCACTGACATACGGTGAAGGTAAACATCGTGAGGAAACCTGGACTTATAATTTCTAATTATAAGTTTGTAATCGCCAACCCGCATTGAGCAAGCGTGGTGATTAATGCTCTAACCTTCTCCGTTTGAGAAGAGGCCTTTGCTCAGCAGTGGGCACTTATAGGCTGATGATGAAGTTTAAACCCAGGTTAATCCTTGGCTACGAGTTTCGAGTGCCATCTTAATAATTTACCGCGACCCCAGCCAGAAACAGCCAGTGTAGTGGTTTCTAGACAGTATGAGTCTGACGGTCCATCTCGCCCCAGCCAAGGCTAGAGGAGCAATCTGATGACTACCTCATTAAAGGTAATAAGATTTTAAGTTGTAAACCAAAAAAGAAACTTGTAAAATGTGAAATATGTGTATGTATTGACTGCAAGGCTTCAAAGTTTTCGTATTCAATTTTACAATTCCCGAGCGAAACAAATCTTTGTGTAATCTACTAACTGTGTTGTCAAATTGTATATTTGTTACACCTATGACACATGAAAAAATTTAAGGTACCACAGATGGTACATTACATTAGGGATCCTACAGAGCTGAGGCAGCTTAAGCCGAGGTAGCGGGTAAGCGCAATAAGGCACCGCGGCCTCGGCCTAAAGCAGGAGTAGAGACGGGGGGTTTCCAGTCAGTAAGAGTCTGACTCTCTCTCTCGCATTACCCTGGGCGGGAGAAGTAATTTGATGACTTTCACCTGTCAAAAAAACAGTCTCGTTGTGACTTAAAACTAATTTATATATTCTAAGTAATATACTTACCATGTTTACTGAAAAAAAAATAAGTAATTTTTTTATCAACATTTTTTGTACGATTATTTCTTCTCGTATACAAAAAGTATTGTTTGAGTGACTAAGATATGTGACACCGCCAGAAAACTCCAAATGTTTCCAAGTCGTTCGGGTTCATACCAAGGCGGAGAGACGCAAACTTATATAATATTAATAAAAGCAATTTTCTGCTTACTTTAGCCAGTACGTGATGTATACTGTTTCTAAGGACGATTATTGAGATAGTAAGCAGTCAAATATACCTACTACTGTATGGGACATTAAAAATGTATATATTTAAAAAGAAGTAAAAAAAATTGTTTATATTTCATCTAGACACTAATATTATAAAGAGGCAAATTTCGTAAGTTTGAATATAGGGGGTAATCTTTGGAACTGCTAGTCGGATTTCCAAAATTCTTTACTGACGGATAGCTACAATGTTCGCGAGTGGTATGGGCTGTAAATTATACTTGATTTGTATGCGTATTTTAGCTCAGCTATCGCTTTTAACGATGCTATTTATTTTTAATCCCGAATCCGTGCGAAGCCGCGGCACTAAATCTAGGTATTTCTAAATTAGAGAATTTATTTAAAAAAAAACGCTGCTCCACAGTATCGCGCGTTTACAAACATAGAATTTAATATACAGATAACACCCAGACCCCGAACAATTTGTAAATCACAAAATCAGTTAGCAACGATTCGTACATAAGAATTATTATTTGACCTGCAATATAATGAACCTATTGTCTCAAGATTCTCGTCATATTTTTATCTGTCTACTTAAGCGATTACAAATTGCTCTTCGTGATATTATCCCGTTGGCCACAGATACCTCCAATGGATGGCCATTCCATGCCCTCCCATTCCTTATGGAGCACGTACGGTCTATGAATATTCTATGAAGACACCAGAAGGCTACCTTAAAATATTGGAACTCCTTGCTTCTCATTATAACGCAGAATCAGACCAGAGTTTGACGAGTGTTATAAATCTTTTGATTGTTAATACAATATTGTTTTAGTTTTTTTTAATTGAAGGTGTTAATGTGATATTAGTATGATATATTTTTTAGCAGTGTATTTTATAATACTTTAATAAGATGTGTGTGATTTTTTTATCAACGGCATCCTAGTTTCGTCCGTTGCTGGACTTAGGCCTCTCTCATTGCACGCTACTGAGCTCGATGTTCAGCCCTTTTCTTTCAACTGCTTACAGCTTCCTAATGGATATCAATCCACCTAGCTGGACCCTAAACTACATTTGCTTAGACACGGTCTCCTCTCTAGAATACCTTACCACCTAACCTCCCTCAATGGTCATCAGTTCTTCCATAAAAGTGACGTGCTTACTGCCATTTCAGTTTAATAATCCTCAAGGTAACGTTGATTACTCAAGTCCTTTGTTGAACCTGAGGCGGACTTCTATTTTTATTTGAGTTTTTTTTTATAAAAATACATTTAAATATCACTATTATACTACTACTACTATATCACTGTAACGGTTGACGCGGTGCATGGCAAACTGGTTGCCGTGTATCGTGTCATGAGTGTATCGATTCCTGCAGGGACCAACTCTTTGTATGATTCGCAAATTATTTTCCAGGTTCGGGTATAATGTGTATGTGAAATTGTATACTTGTAAAACATAGGAAAAAAAATCTGTTTATAAGGCAAAGTTCTTTGAAAAAATCATCATCATCATCAGCCTGTTGTCGTCCACTGCTGGACATAGGCCTTTCCAATTGCACGCCACTTTGAAAAAATACCAACATTAAAAACTTTTATAATTTCGTTTTTGACTTTTAAAACCAAAACCAACAGAAGTATTGTATCAATCCCATACCTAGTTTACACAAACATATTACATACATACATACAAGCGTATTTTATCGTTTTTCACTGTATCTCGCAAACAAAGTGATTTGATTGCTGATAGTCTGAGTGCTGCATGTATCCAATTTGAATATGATTTTATTGTTACCGTTATAAAACTCGAAAGCCTTTTATTGGCGAATGTAATTGATGAAAAATCTAGTTCGATGCGGCGCACTCTGTGCACTTTAGTTTTATTTAAATTTATTAATTTTGTTTATTTATATGAAGTGTTACTCTAATTAATAAATGGATTTTTCAATGACATTCAGTAAAAACAAAATAAATATATGAAAATAAAAGTATATCTTTTTCATAATATTTTTATTGCAGTGATGCTATGACTGAGCAATCGGCTGCCGTCCAACGTGTTAAAAATTTGATTGTTGTACGTGGAAACTCTTTGCGTGTTCCAAAAATTTTTGTCTAGGGTCTGGGTGTGATGTGCGTGTAAAATAGAAGCACAAAAGACACAGGAGGAATAGCAAGTCCTCACTTGCACTTTCACCGTTTTTTTTTTAATTAAAAATATATAAATAGGTACCAATGTCTACGTTTCTCATTGAAATGGTTACAGACAATGGAATGTCAATTTCTATTGCATGAGTTTCCAATCTTAAAGAAGGCCTGTTACTGTTCACTACACCTGAATAGCTGCTCTAAATTCATAGATTTTGAATATAGAACGTAGGTTATATGAACTATGTGCGTCATAAGTTTACCGGGAACTTTTAGACGAAGTTTGTGAAACAGGTCCTTAAATAAATAAGTATTTGCTCGACACTTCGTGCGTCCAAAGTGTCGGGTTCTTTGCAGACAACAATAAATCCTCTTTACTTTTCTGTTCCTGTCATCTATTTATTTTTAACCAGTTACTAAAGCTTTGGTTACAAAAACGGTTTACAGTCTTTACATGTAAAAATGGATCGCAAAATGTGTTGGTAAGCGCATAACTCAAAAACGCCTGGACCAATTTTGCTAATTCTTTTTTTTTTTGTATTTGTTATTGTCAGGAGAAGGTTCTTATCAAAGAAAATATTCGAAAATTACAGAGGAAGATTCGGAAAAAGTGATCCTTTGATAGCGAGATAGTTTACCCGTGCGAAGCGGGGGCGGGCCGCTAGTACTAAATAGACTTTGGTGCTGCCTTACGATACCAAATACTTACTATACGCCACAAATCTGTACTAATATTATAAAGGTGTAAAATTTGTAAGTCTGTATGTAGGGATGATCTTTGGAACTGCTGGAAGGATTTCCAAAATTCTTTCACTGATAGATAACCTTAATGATCCTGAGTGCTATAGGCAACACTACGATCTATAGGTGCAGTGAGTGAAACAGCGTGACAGAAGCTAGTTAAGTGTGGGAGAGCCATACCTACTTCGGCACGAATGGGTCGGCTCGATCGGAGTGATACCACGGCCTCACAGAAAACCGGCGTGAAACAACCACAGCGTTGTGTTTCGCCGTGTAAGTGAGGTTACCGGAGGCCCAATCCTTCCCCTCCCCCAATCCCTCCTCAATCCTTCAATCTCCAAATCCCTAAATCCTAAAAGGTCGGCAACGCACTCGTAACTCCTCTGTTGCAGGCGTGTCCATGGGCGGCGCTGATTGCTTACCATCAGGTAACCCGTCTGCTCGTTTGCCGACCTATTAACTATAAATGAATAGTCAGTAAAACAGCTAACAGAGTCAACCTAAATATTTCGATACAATAGAAGCTCTGACAAAGTCTAGCTTAATGTGACATAACTTCACATTTGTGACAGCGCTCAACCACAGAAACTGTGACTGACGTATTAGGTCAACTGGTCACATGGCTGCTATCTGACGCGATTAGAATCGAGATATAGACAAACCTTATAATGAAATATTTTTTTAAATTAGAATCTAGTAAATAGGTAAAACAAATGAGATAATGTTGCTTATTTTTTACATTAAATAAACTCCTCTGATATTGCGGGTATCCATGGGCGGCGCTGATAAGGCCATCAGCTAACCCGTAGGCTGCTTTTCCGTCCTATCACATTAAAAAGAATATTTAACCCTAAGTGTGGGAGAGCCAAGCTTCGGCACGAATGGATTCGGTTCTACGGGAGTGATACCTCGGCCTCACGGAATACCGACGTAAAACAACCACAGCGTTGTGTTTCGCCGTGTGAGTGAGGTTACCGGAGACCCAATCCTTCCCCTCCCCCGATTCCTCCCAATCCCTAAATCTCCAAAACCCTAATCCCTAAAAGGTCGGCAACGCACTCGTTACTCCTCCGTTACGGGTGTCCATGGGCGGCGCCATCTTATCTTCATACTTACCATCAGGTAATCCGTCTGCTCGTTTGCCGACCTATTCAATAAAAAAAAACCTATCTCAGTAATCGATTTCAACCTATTTCTCTGAAACCAGTTTAGTTGCAACGTCGCAAGGCTAATCTGTAACATGCCTATAACAATATTTCCCGGCGCTAGTCATTCACAGTGACTAATCGTCAGTGGCTATGAAACTCAATAAATCTAGATCCGGCTTGCGGTGGCAGATCGTTTATTATATTATGTTTATTATGTACAACGTTTGCTAACTAAAGAGGACAGGGATGATAATTTATAAACATTGATATTTTGGTTGTTAATTGATTTTGAATTGTTATCTAATTGTTGTTGAGGAACAAATGATATATTAAGGTTAGTATTACACTATATATTAAGGTAGGCAATTGGTAACGCCTAAGTAAGTAATGAAAGTGCTTTTCCACACGTTTGGAGTATTATTTAGGTATTTCAGGCTTTAGGTTACCCCATTCTCATGGTGAATCATAACGCGTGCGATGTTTCACACCGGTGTTCCGAGAGGTCGCGATATCATTCCGTTTGAACTGTCCTATTCGCGCCGACGCATGGTCAACCTGAGGGTCAACCCACGTTTGTGTTTAGTTGTCGTTTACGGATTATAATTGTAGATATTTCTTTTCTTTCGTTTTTCAAATACTTATTAAAATATTTCATTGTGTTTATTTTGCGAATCTAATAAAGAACAATTTTGTGATGGTCAACCAATTTGTTAATACGTTTAAATAAGTTTCTCCGATAGCACACCACTGGATTCGACTTTCTATCACTTCAGATTTTTACTTTTTACTTATAGGCTGATGAAGCGATGTTTATGATATGATAAGAATAAAACTTTACCTAAAATACTTACATGTATTTTCATACCACACCCTGTTTCACAGACACCTCCAATTCAGCTTTTATATTTTCCGAAGCAGACTTCAATCGCAACACTCCCCGATGTTCAATAAAAATCTTGTCTAGGTACTACATAAAATTTCAATACGTCAGCTAGAAGGCAAAATTGCTTCCAATACATAATACTGGCAGTCAATTCCTCGGGCCGAGGTGTAATGAAAGTCGCGATTTGTAGTCTTCATAAACAAAATCCCGTTTTATTGGGGAATATTGCTGTGATATCGCTTTCTGTTCCTTCGAACAAATCCCCTTTACTGGTGCTACGTTCACACGCTGTTTAAGTAAATTATTGAGTTGTAAAAAGTGAGGGACGGGAGTTTAGAGGTGTTCCAGGAATAGATTATCTTCGCTTCTATATTTCTATTGTTATTGGATTATGTGTCGGGTATATGAAGTGTTGTAGGTTTATTTATGTATTAAACTATTTCTTAGTGTTCATTACAGTAGTTATATAGGACTACTAAGATACAAAAATTTAGTGTACAAGGGGCAGTCTTATCGCACAAGGCAATCTCTTACAGACAACTTTTGGATAAAGCTGCAATAGGAGTTTGAAATATTGTTCGTCAAGTGTACAATATTATTGGAAATTCAGTTGCCGCTTTATTAACAGAACCGCAGGGTGATATTAATCAGAAGGTGTCAAAAACCCACCTCGCCTGGTTGGAGGATGTTCCTTTTCCGATATTAGGGAACTACACTCTCTGTTTCCCAAAGTGGAACAAGAAAATTACAAAATTGTTTTGAGAAACATTATTTTATCTAAAGACTATCCACGTGTCAGGCATCATCAAGGGTAATATTTACATCAAACCACCAATCTCCAACCAGCTATAAAGCAAGCCGAAATGGTTTATAAAATTTCGCCCCAAAAATAGATCACAATCTTCAGATACAGGGGGAGCTATTAAATATTTTACAACCAATAAAACCGGTATGCAATCAAGTCTGTACTTTCAACAAGTGATTAACTCGTTACTCTTCCTTTTCAGTAAACGAGTGAATATTTGGCAATTACTTGAACGCGTACGTAAACGTTACGGTTCAATAAAAACGTTCTCAATAAATATTACATTAACTATCGTTTATATTCGTGCCCCAGTTTGGGGTTTGGGGGGTAAAGTGTTTTTTTGTTTGCGTGATGCTGAGGGTAGGAGGAAACAAATGTATGTTTCGTGATATTGCTAATGTTTGTGATTGATATGTTAACTACTAGGTACGTGTGTTGATGTTCCTTCTTATCAACTTGCCTCGCCTGTAAAGAGATGTCAAATAATTAGTTAACTGTAGTGTATACACTAAAGTTCTCCATAATTACCGTCATAAAGGCAAGCAGATTTGCATTACAGAATAATACATTAGTGAACAGATGACATAATTAATGAACAAAATCTTGAAAATAAAATCTTCAAGACAATAGTTATGTGACAGTTAATTACAGTATAAGTACATGTTTTTCGAGTTAGATCGAAGATCTACGATTCATACATAAATTCATATCGATTTTTTTATCACACTTCTAAGGAAGGCAACTAGTATTAGTGGTACTGTACCAATGTAATACCACGTAATGTGTATGTTGAAAAAATCACAACCATACTCATTCCTTTAGATTTTTTATGAACAAGCGGGCGGATCACGCAATGATAAGCAATCAGCGCCGGCATGGACATCCGCAACGCCAGAGGAGTATAAGTAGTTAGTTGACACCCTTTTGGGGATTGTTGTTAGTGATTTGAGGATTGAGGAAGGAGAGGAAAAGGACTGGGACTCCAGTACTCTTATTCACACGGCGATAACCAAGACAAGTAATATTTTACGCCAATTTTCTGTAAGCCGTGGTTTCAATCCGGTTGAGCTGGCCTATTCGTGTCGAAGCATCGTTTACACTTACTTATTAAATTATTTACACAACTTCGCTTACACATATATAGGTAATACATGTATGTATGTCTTTCATTAAACATACTTTTGCTCTTAGTAAATATTAATTTAATATGGAGGTCCGAGTAAGCAAAATATTAATGAGGAAATTAATTGCATATTAATGAATTATGGTTAATAATTCGCATTGTTATTAAATGAACGGAACAATATTTATTTTACTTCTGAATGTATACAATTTATTTTCTGTTCGGTTGCTTTAGTAAATTATCTTGAAAAATTATCATATTTGTTTGCATGTTAAAATGTTCAACGTGTCAAAATTCTCAATTCTTCTTCAGTCAAACTCCATCATCATCATCATCATCAGCCTATAAGCTCACTGCTGAGCAAGGGCCTCTTCACATACGGAGAAGGTTTGAGCATTAATCACCACGCTTGCTCAATGCGGGTTGGCTATTTCAAACTTATAATTAGAAATTATAAATCCAGTTTTCCTCACGATGTTTACCTTCACCGTATGTCAGTGGTGTCTAAATAATCATAGAAAGTACATATAACTCGGAAAAAGTCACATTGGTACTTGCCTGGTTTCGATCTCACACCCTCCACAGTATCCAGTTTATCTAAGTCATCATTACTGGGAAGATTGTGGTATAAAATAAATGACTTTAAAATAGACGTTTCTTTTCTAAGTAATAAAATAAAATGGCGTCTAACTTAAACGTGCCACGACTTATCTCCTCCTCAAATCTATTTAACAACACCACAAGAAGACGTATTTCAAAGACTCTTTCATGGCGGCCATTTTTTTATTTTCTGTTATCCACGTGGAGAAAATCCGGGTCACAGCCAGACACAAACAGTATAATAAAATTTACTTACTTTATCCCGTATTCGTATCCTGTATTTCGTTATCAGTACTTTCTATCCTTTGATAAAAACACTCACGATTTGTCGCTAATCCGCTTCATGTGCGGAAAGGGATCTCCTGACCACGAATTGAAGATACGTTAGAAGATTTATGTTTATTAACTGCACGATATGTGAAATATTTCTGACGTGTTAATGACTAGCCCAGTGAACTTAATTTGAAAGGATTTTTATGAAAATACTGAGAAGATTAGAGACTGCACCCGGGTTTTATTTTTTTAATGACTCTTTTCGGGGTGAAGAAATCACCAAATGAGTCTCGCGTGTCCATGTGTGGATTGGTTGTGGATGGATATTATTAACTTAAGATGGTGTAGCTGTGAACGTAATGTTTTGATATTTTACATAAACAGTCGAAAATATTTTTTTAATACCTGAGATTAATATTTAATACAAATATGCTTCTATGACAACATTTCTTTGACAGTATTATGATTACGGCAGATCACATTCTTTATAGGGCTTCTATTTTTTGTATATGACAGATCGTAAAACTTTCAGACAGATCATCTGAAGCTAGGCAATTGGTCCCACCTATAAAAGTGCAATGCTATTTGTATTCTAAGATTAAGGATTAGGGATTGAGAAAGGTTAGAAACTAAGAATTGGGCTCAACTTGACAGTGTTCGACGTCCGCTTATTTGCTTGGCTTACACCATAAAAAAGATATAAATCTAATATTAATGAATTATTATTTTATGATTTAACTTAATTTTCGTAGAAATCAAATTCTGCTGTTCATATAAATATAATTGCATTGTGTTTTTTTTTTGGAAGTACGGGGTAAGTTCGGGTTACTTTGACCCTGCGGGGCAACTTTGATCCAACCCCTTTAACCAATAATAACTGAGAACCAAACATATATTCGTTTTTCATTGGTTCGAAAATTTGGATCAAAGTTACCACCCAGGGTAACCCGAACTTACGGTAAAAAAAATATTGTAAAATATATTGTCAGAACGAAAATTTAATTACTCGTTAACATTTTTGGAGTTTAGTTTTGAATGTCTACTTTTATGGAACTACATTAACTAAATAAAAAATTGATAAATATAATAAAACAGATTAAACATGTAGCAGTTGTGTGTGGAAAACATTTATAACCGTATGTTTAATTCTGGTCATTATCATCATCCTCATTACCATTTGTTGGTACACGCCCCGCTATTAAGCTAATGATAAACATTCTGTCCACTCCTAGCTAGTCTAGAAAAATCGTAAATATTTTTTAATTTCAGTAAAAGTCAAAGTCGAAATCATTTATTTCAATTAGACCCATACAGGCACTTTTGAACGTCAAACAAAATTTTAAAGATATAAAGTGTCAGTCTGTCGGTCAGTTCTCTTAGTGAAGCTATTCGCTCGTTCCAAAGTGTAGATTCCGATGGAGAAGAACGAGCAAGAAACTCCATGGTTACTCTTTTTAAAATCAGTGTCACATAAAGTTAATCATTACATACATCTAAACAAGGGTTTTTATATAATGTATTGGCAAAAGAGCAGTTGGAATATCTGATGATAAGCAATCGGCGCCATCCATGGAGACCCGCAATACCAAAAAGAATAACAACTGCGTTGCCAGCCATTTGCGGGTTGTTAAGAATTAAAACAGTCGGGATTTAAGAATTGGGGTTTGGTATTTGGGATAAGATTGGGACTACGGTAACGGCCTAACACGCACGAAATACGATGCAAGCGTTATTTCACTACGATTTTCGGTGCGAACATGGTGAATGTCCCGTCGAGCCGACCTATTAATGCCGAACCATACCATAAATGTGTTATTGTTTTTCGGATGATTTTCACCAAACGATCTCTAAAATGTTTCATCATTTATAATTTATCGTCATCATCAGTCTGTTTCCGAAAACTGTTGGACGTAGCCTCCCCAATTGCAAGCCACTGAGCTGGCTGTTCAGCTCTTCCCATCCAACTACTGGCTGCCAGCCATTATTATATTGTCACAATACAAAACAAAAAACAATATTATTATAATACTATGTTTACATTATTCAAATGTTTCTTGACTGTACCGCATAAATTCAATAACGTTGAAGGTAGCTCGGAGCTCGAAAAGGCACAAAAGTCTGACTATGAGAGTAGTTTCACATGGCTTTGATCCGCTGTTCCAAACTAGAAAAGTTTGCGAAAGCGTTGGTGTGGAAAGTGGCTTCCTGTGAAAATATTTTAAACATAACAGTGTATCTTACTTACTTATAGAAAATGTTAACACGATTATATTATAATAAATAACCGATATAATAGGAGTCGAAAAAGGATTGAACCTTCGGTAACCTCACTCACACGACGAAACACAACGCTTAGGTTGTTTCACGTTGGATTTCTCGGAGGCCCTGGTATCACTTCGGTCAAGCGACCCAATCCATGGCTCTCCCACACTTACATTCTTCTAATGGTTGAGTATGTCCCTTTGTTATTTTTTTTATGTTATACGTCGGTAAATGAGCAGGTCGATTACCTGATGGTAAGCAATCAGCGCCGCCCATAGACACCCGCAACGGAGGAGTTACGAGTGTGTTACCGACCTTTTAGGAATAAGGGTTTTGGAGATTTAGAGATTGGGGAGGGATCGGGGGAAGGCAGGATTGGGCCTCCTTCAACCTCACTCACATGGCGAAACACACACAACGCTGTGGTTGTTTCACGTCGGTTTTCTGTGAAGCCGTGGTATTACTCCGGTCGAGCCGACCCATCCGTGCCAAAGCATGGCTCTCCCACACGATGGTTTATATTCATCTAATGGCGATGCAGTTTAAAACTACATTTAAAAGTGGTACAAGTTTAAAATAAACTTTAAACCACGGACATAAGATACACAAATCGTATGCAGCATCTAAACGTCAGTCCCATAAAAGATTGGTTCACTAGAAACTACTAGCTTATGCATGCGTAAGTACGCGGCCCGGTAAGAGGTCCCATTTTACTTGCAGCATTTGATTTCCTACTTCTGTGACTGTATATAAACACGGAAAGGAAATTGAATACTTGTGAGCTGTTGTTGAAGTGTTTTCTTAGATAAAACTTCGTTTCGTACCTCGACAAGTTTATTAGAGGAGGCGTTGAGACCTTTTTTTACTTGAGAATACGATTTCGTTTTGTTTTTCTTTTTGATATATTTCAATCATCGGTTCGTTGGTGTTTTCGGTGTGATAGGAATGTAATTTAGTTAGTTCAATTCGTGAGGCGTTTTGTTTTTATTCCCGGTCTTTATTTCACATTCTTTTCTTAAGTTGAATTTAGTGTTTAAATAATTGTTATATCTCTGATCAATGCCATGTCCGCAGCTAAGGTCTAGCTGTTTGTTCATCCCTATCAAAAATGCTACATAATTGCATAAATATTTATCACGTTTTCAAATAAAAATACTTTAATACCCGCATGTTATGCGAATGAATGATTCCAGAATTAAAAACTCCCTTCATATTACATGACCGAACAAAGCTTTGAAAGCCGATATCCCACACACAAGCATAAATACAAAAATATCAATGAATAATATTTTCACGCTGATTTAAAATTTTAAAGGCAAAAATGATGCCCTATTTTAACTGTTCGTTATTTCGCATGAACTGTAAGAGCCAGTTAAAGCGGAATGGGACCATACGCTTATTATATTTCCACCCTACATTGGAATAAATACAAATTTATATAAAGTGTTTTAATGGTTTCCCCTGTTCAGTATTGAAACTTTTAATGGGGACGATGGTTGGTGCTCGGCGTGGTAAACCAACGCTTTACTTTCACGGCACATTTATGCGTTTGCGAATCGTTTCAATATTTCTGGTATTAATTCAGAAGATAACGTTAAAATTGTTTTCAATTTTCATAATTCAAGATTCCCACACACCACATCCACACAGTGCGGCAGATTATACAGAAGACTGAGGAGTATAATCAGCCCCTGTGCCTAGCATTTGTGGACTATGAGAAAGCCTTTGACTCGGTCGAAATCTGGGCTGTTCTGGAGTCCCTGCAGCGATGCCAAGTAGATTGGCGATACATCCAAGTGATGAGATGTCTCTACGAGGCCGCCACCATGTCCGTCCAAGTACAGGATCAGCAAACAAGGCCGATACCGTTGCATCGAGGTGTGAGACAAGGGGATGTTATCTCCCCGAAATTGTTCACAAATGCAATGGAGGATATGTTCAAGACGCTGAACTGGAAAGGACGCGGCATCAACATAAATGGCGAGTACATCTCTCACTTGCGATTTGCAGACGACATCGTCATCGTAGCAGAAACGCTGCAGGACCTACAACGGATGCTGAATGACCTGGCTGACTCTTCTATACGCATCGGCCTACGGATGAACTTGGATAAAACCAAGGTCATGTTCAATGAACATGTACTACCGGAACCGATTGCAGTACACGGCGCTGTTCTCGAAGTCGTTCAAAAATATGTATACCTCGGGCAGACATTGCAGATGGGTAGAAACAACTTCGAGAACGAGGTGAATAGAAGAATTCAGCTAGGTTGGGCAGCATATGGAAAGCTGCGTCAAGTCTTCACGTCGTCGATCCCACAGTGCCTAAAGACGAAAGTCTTCAATCAGTGCGTCCTACCTGTCATGACATACGGAGCCGAAACGTGGACACTGACGGTGCGGCTGGTTCACAAGCTAAAAGTCACTCAGCGAGCTATGGAGAGGGCTATGCTCGGCGTTTCTCTGCGAGATCGAATCAGAAACGAGGTGATCCGGCAGAGAACCAAGGTAATCGACATAGCCCACCGGATTAGCAAGCTGAAATGGCAGTGGGCTGGCCATATTAGCCGAAGAACCGATGACCGTTGGAGTAGACGAGTTCTTGAGTGGAGACCGCGTCTCGGCAAACGTAATGTAGGACGTCCTCAGGCAAGGTGGAGTGATGATTTGCGCAAGATGGCTGGCAGGAGCTGGATGCGAGTGGCCGAAGATCGATCCCAGTGGCGTGCAATAGGAGAGGCCTATGTCCAGCAGTGGACTGAAAAGGGCTGATGATGAATTCAAGATTTAAACTTTTTGAAATTTAATGTTGTTTTTCTTTTGTTACAGAAAGTATCGACAAGTCTGGCGAAGATCCCGTTATAGCAGCGCTAAGGCCATACGCTGCACCCGATGACGATGATGGCCCTAGAGATCCTTACAACTTCCAAAAACTCTTTGGTAACACATCGGTGACGACGAAACACGAAGTTACCACAGATGATGTATCGTTAGTTGAACATTTCATTAATGTAGAACATAGTTACGATAATAACGATACTAAAAGTAATTTAGACGACAATTCGGATTTAAGAGATTACAATGGTACAGCAGAGAATGTGACTATAACGAGGCCCGTGCATGAAGATGTAGTTACAAAGTTCCTAAGATTGATAGAGACTCAACATTTACTTGGTGAAAATTGTACAGCTGGGACTCATTTGAATTTAGGCGAAGGTGTGGTAGACAGATACGCACAAGAAAGATTTAGGATAGAAGCTGATGTGGCAGTGAATAGAGCTAATATGTTAACAAGGCTATGGAAGTACGCTGGTCCATCAGTCATGCACAATGAGTATTTGCTCCACGCAAGTGTGTTCTCAATGGTAGAATTTGACGATGACATTTTCGCTGCTGGAAATTGCTATGACCAATTGCAGTATAAAGATTATCAACTGTTCTGCCCTTTCGCGTACCGCTTGCCTGAAGGTCCGATTCTGGCAAAGGATTTAGCTGTAGAATACAAATATTTGAGCAACACGTCGGAATGGTTCTACATCGCACGGAAGAACGCTGAGCGCGTGATCAGGAACCACAATCAGTTTAGAAGAGGTGAGTTTTAAGTTTTATTATTTTTCCATTCCATACAGATTTACCTATGAGAATTCAACAAAGTTTATGAAAACCTAACACTATTGGGCAGTCTTATAAATACTAAACAATGATCTCGATAAAAGTTTGACACTTCAATAAAATTCAAAATAAATCTTTAGATAACAAATAAAACCTTTTTTTTTGTTTCAAGCGAAAATCCGACAAAATCTACCTCATTTAGCTGTCAAATTATTCAAAGATATCCCAGAACTTGCCAATCTTCTGTTTATACAAACAAAATCCCGATTCCCCGGGGGTTCGATGGCAACGATCGATTTAACGTTATTTAAAACAATAGTATGGCACCAGCATCGAACAACAACTGCGTAGTCTGTCAGTCGAGGTCCTTAGTCGACAGATTTGCCTTGATTTCAAGCAAAATATTTATTCAGTTCACTTGTAAAACGTTTTGTCGAATAAAGGAATTCCGAACTTAGTTTCCATTTTCCATATAATTTACCGCTCGTTGTACAAACGTTCAAATACTTTTTGTTTATTTAAGGAAAACAGTTCAGTGTTTTACATTCGCTTTAAAGTATTTATTTTTTACACTTTGATACTAAATTTTGGGAATGATTTGAATTTTCAGTTTTACATAGAATTAACCAAAATTTAGGTAAGTATTTATAAGAATTAAATAAACTCAATTTTCATTAAACTACTTTACTTATATTGGAGGAATGTTATCAATACGTTTTTGTAGTACCTATAAAATACAAAATATTTTTTAGTTCTTTCATCTTAGAACAAAATTGGTTCTCACAAAACTTACTTTAGCCAATAACGTTGAATCGCGTTCAGCGCTAGAACTTTTAATCTCTTTAATGTGTAAATAAAATCAAACTTTATACCTTCGATATAGGAACTATAGTTAATTGAATTCACTTTAGTACAGCGCTGCCGCGCTTCAAGTAGGAAATTAAAGTTAGCAAAGCGTTCGCTTGCACCGCAAGAAAAACATCACAAGTGGACTGTTTGTTGTTGGAGAGGCTTTAGAATAAAAAGTCCACGGTTTGTTCTCAATTAGCATGGCTACTGTAAGTTCTGATGTACTTAAAATACAGTTTGGATTTAGTGAAGTGAATTTATGCAAATTGATATTTTGACTGAGGATATAGGATAACATTGAAACTAAATATTTTATTTGTAATAAAAAATATGCTGTAATTTTTTTCGTATACTACATTGAATTACTGGCCAGAATGTTATAGTTTTTGATCCGTCTGATGGTGTTTGGTTGTCAACAAAACTAACAAACAAAATTGCATGGTGGTCGGTGTAAGAGTGTTTTTGGCATCGTAGTCATTCATTCAAAATTTATATAAAGAACTTTAATTTTAAGAATCAACAAATAGTACTTAGCATTAAGTTATATTAGCATTGAAAATAGGTCTATGGTAGATAAAAAATACTTCTGAAAATAGTACTTAACAAAAAGTACAAAACTCAGTTCACGAAAAACGTGGATTCACCACGTCTAACAACCTATTCGTACAAGCAGGACCAACTAGAGATTTATATAAAATCTTTGTAGTAAAGTTATCTTAAATTACGATAGGAACAATGTTTTTCTAGGACTAAAGGGAACGGAACAGTTCAACTGTTTATTTCTAAGAACATTGCCAACAGTCGATTGAAACTTTAACTCACTTAAAAGGAATCTCCTTATTTTTTGCTGCCTTCCCAGCTAGAGGTAAATCTTAGATCTTTATTTTGCAATCAATTCTCTGTAAAGGGACTTGTGATTTTCAATCTAGAATGGATTGGTTTTGTTTTGCACTATCTGACTTAAATATTACACTATTTAATATCGTTTACATCTCTGTTAAGTGTGAGAGAGCCATGTTTGGCACAGTTAATGAGGAATGGGCAGGCTGATTCGGACTGATGTCATGGCCACATTAAGATTGGCCTGAAAAAATGCTTGCCTTCTATATTGCTGAGTGAGTGAGAGTACCGAAGGCCCAATCTGGGAGTCCCAGCTCCTCCCAGGTCCCCAATCCCCAATTCGCAAATGCCTTACCCCAAAAGGACAGCAACGTCACTCTTCGATGTTGCTGGTGGCCATGCAATAATTCAGAAGATATGAAATTGATTCTGGCATTTATCACTAATGAGTTTTAATCAAGTAGCAACTTTTTTGCAGTCCGATAAATTATTCTTTAATTTAAGAAATCATAAACACAGCATTAAAAAACAAAAGAAATCATCAAAAATATATCTTTAATGAATAATATGCGCTGTGTTTTCCGAAGTAAATTTCCCCAATCAACTGTGAATGATATATTCATGGAGATCATCTGAATCTCGATTTTATAATTATTCATTCTTAATTATTTCTTCTTTCGAATGTATGAATATTTTAATATTTTAAAAATGAGAATTCTGATGAGATTCCTTTTAAATTGCCTCTGTTAATGTAACTGTAATGAGCTCGACTTTGGACTGAATGAGCGCGGGATTGGCGGTCAGTAATTGATTTAATTAAGTATCAATTGACCGCGTATAAAATTTATATCATGTTGTTTGTATTTTGAGTATTTTCCGCTGCTTTTAATGTATTATTTGGAACTCGGATAAAATTTGATATCAACAAAATTTTGTTTCTGTTTGTGTGCCTTTCCGTTGAATAAAGACGGTCGCATTCGGATTAAATGATAGTAAGCAATCAGCGCCTCCCATACACACCCACAACGGAGGAGTTTTTTTTTTGTGAGGGGAAAATCATCAAATGACTTCTCCCGCCCAGGGCCGGGCAGGAGGGAGTGTCAGACTCTTACTGACTAAAAACCCCCCTGTTCCTTCTCCTGCTCTGTGCCGAGGTCGCGGTACCTCATTGCGCTTACCCCGCAACCCCGGCTGAACATCAGCCCTTTAGGGCCCCGTCTGTGGTGGTCGAATGGCTCTTTGAGGCGCGCGCGGACCACTGTTATGGTAGCGTGCCCGGCCCTCGGTTGCGCCAGTCGTTGTTTCACAACAGAGGAGTTGCTGACCTTTTAGGGATTAGTGATTTGGAGATTTAGGGATTGGGGGAGGGGAAGTATTAGGCCTCCGGTAACCCCACTCATACTGCGAAACACAACGCTGTGGTTGTTTCACGCCGGTTTTCTGTAAGGCTGTGGTATCATTTAAAATACGAGTAAAAAAATTTCACCGGACGGTTGGTGCAGTGACCCTATAGTACTTAACTTTACTGAGACATACCTATTTTTTCAAAATAATGGCTTAAAAAGACAAACAAATTATGTCTGAAAGCTAAGCTATTAGTTTCATGGCACGACGATAGTCTTATGCATGAGCAGCGTGCGCGTCTCAGCAATGCAAACTGTGTTACTTTTCTCAGTTACCTAATTCACGTTGTTCTCAATAAACAAAACAAGAAGAAAAACCACTACAGAATGAACTTGCACGGTTCTCTCACATAATGTTATTTTTACATTGTCTGGACTTGAAAAGAGACTGACCTCTGAGTTTGTTTCGGCATTTTTTCTCAGAGTAGTCAGACAGGAAATGCCGGTTTCATCTAGTTTTCAAATATAAATTGACGTGTAAAAGTGCCGTTTTATATAAATTCATTGTTTCATTTTTTATGGTATAAGTCGGCAAACAAGCTGACGGATTAGCTGATGGTAAGCAATCGGCGCCGCCCATGGACACCCGCAACACCAAAGAAGTTACGAGTGCGTTGCCGACCTTTTGGGGATAGGGGCTGCGGATATAAGAATCTGGAAGGAATAGGGGAACGGGGGGGATTAGGCCTCCGGTAACCTCACTCACACGGCGAAACACAATGCTGTGGGTTGTTGCACGCTGGTATTCTGTGAGGCCGTGGTATCACTCCGGTCGAGCCGACCCATTCGTGCCGAAGCTTGGCTCTCCCACTCTTGTATTGTTTCAAGAAAGTTATATAATTTCTTTAAATTACATACATTTAAAGCCAAATGAGATCCTAAAGGGTTAGACATGTTAGTTTCAAGGTCAAACGAAAATTTTGATCATTAATAATGATATTATATGTTTAGACTAAAAAAATCTCTACAGACAGTAGATTACAGTACTGGTACAGACATACTATTGTGTTTTTGATAACATAAAATAAAACAAGTGAAAAATAAAAGGACTTTTCTCTAGTCCCACACAAATCATGGTCTAACTATTTTAATAAGTAATGGCCTGTCTATCCCCTGGCACTATTCTTCCAATTATCTTGAAAACCACTTTATAAATAAATAAGCTTGCGTACTTAACTATTGGTTGTTTTTGTGTGTTGGTTTTTACTATAGGTACTCAATGAGATCATAGGTACTTATACTTTTCTAATTATAGTATGAATAAACAAAAAACAGTTTTTAAAACAATTTATTTTACACACAGATAGCAAGGTAATCTTAATAAGGGCTGATTTTTCAATTTTTTACCTGGTTCAATGGTCAATTTTTTATTAGTTACCTGAGGAATAATTATGTTGCTGTCGCGTAAGAATGTTTGTGTAAGACAGTGACATCAACAATTTTATTCCTCAGGTAAAATTTATCTGAAAATTTAAAATCAGCCCTTATAGGCATAATAATCTTTTTAAAATAAAAATGTATTTAGCAAATAACCCGGTCGAGCCAGCCCATTCATGCCGAAATAAGGCTCACCCACCTTTCAATTTTTATTATTTTTTATTTATACTTAAATCATCATCATCAGCCTATAAGTGCCCACTGCTGAGCAAAGGCCTCTTCTAATACGGGGAAGGATTGAGCATTGACCACCACGCTTTCTCAAAGCAGATTGGCAATTTAGACCTAATAATTATAAATCCAGGCATCCTTCACCGTATGTCAGTTGTGTCTATAATATAATCATAGAAAGTACATAAGTATAACTCGGAAAAAGTCACATTGGTGCTTGTCAGATGTCTCATGCATGAGAAGCGGGCGCCTTGACCTTCGGGCCACCACTCAGAGACTATTATATGCTATTCTGTATCTATACATATATATGTACCTACACGTAGCTATACTTATATCTGTAGCTAAACAGTATAACTGGCCGCTTTGAAGGGACACGTGACAGCGTTATTACAAGCACAAAGCTAATATGCCACTAGCATTGTACCTTTGTTGCTAGGAACGCATTTACGATGACTACCACTGTAAATAATTTTGCTTTAGAGGTTAATTTGGAAGAATGTTGTACTATAATCCTGCTAACTAACGCGAAGGCTGAAAAAACGTAAAATAGTACCTGTATTTATCTGTAATACTGGTTATATTACAACGAACGTCTTGTGATAGTTAATAGAACTGATTTGTTCAAATAAATGTATTAATGGAAATGTTGCTTTTGTATTTATATTATAATTGTGTCGAAATAGGAGAGAGTTGGGCTAAAAATTCAGTTTTGACAAATTATTTTATTTAAACACAATACTTATAATAACAAAATAGGTACCTACAGGTTTTTTATGATGGCAAGCAATGAGTGCAACCCATGGACATTCAAAATACAAAAGGAATTACTATAAGTGTGGTTCTTGTGGGATATTAGCGATAGGGGATTTGAGGATTGAGGATGGGGGTGAGAGGATTGGACTATCGGTAACCTCACTCACACTTGTATGATTCTGTTAAAACAAGTACTATGTTTAAAAACAGTAGTTCATCCTAAGACAAATTTAGTGTATAATACGAATTTACTTACTGATTACGCACGTTTTTATATAGCTGCAGCAATGCACCAGCAGCCCTAAAACCTATACCAATACTGTAAATATTCCCCCGCGATCCCGGCTAAGGCACATAAGTACAACAGAAAGCATTAACAAATAAATGTCATCATTCCGTACCTATCATGCTAAATAATATTATTTTTATTACGAAAATCGTTCTCATTTTGCACAACACGAACCTTTAGGAAAGAAAATATCAAACATTTTCATTTAAATATTTTGTCCGCTCATAAAGGTTTTTAATCATTATTCAATACTGTGTCACGATAAAGCCCAATAAATTACAATTTGATCTGCAATATCATTGTCCGGCTTGTTCCCGAGTGTCACCTGTCTTTCGCCTGTCCGCAATAAATTTTCTCATTAAAAAAGATACAAGCCCCGTTTTAATGGGGTTCTGCGTGCACATTGATAAAACCCATCAGCAATTCTTTGGTGTAAAGCCTCCTGACATATATCAGTATTTAAAGGATTTTTACTCAATGAAATTATAAGCTGGATTTTAACGCCGGGTTCTGGATTTGAATTTTTGAACTGATTTTACAAAGTGACGGATTTTTCTGTGTACAAATAGTTTAATTTGCCTAAACAATCACAGTGATTTAATATCATGGTGTTCACTGTTAAGTTTTTAACTTTTAAACTGAATCCCAACACATTTATGTCACTCCATAAAATGTTTAACTAATTTGGACTTTTTTACTCCATTTAAAAAAAATAACTCTAAATGAAAGTTTTATTTTGAGACCGAAATAATCTGCCGAGTGCTGATGCCAAAATATGATTTTAAATGTCTTTAATTGACTAACAAAATATCTCTTCTATTTTCTAGGATACAATACGTACACATACAACGACACAGCACACACTGAGAGGGAACCAGACGAGATTCTGTCGGTGACATACGAAGATGGCAAGTGGTCGAAGCCATACTACGACTGTGGAGGCGGTAACATTTGGATGCTCACGTACACCGTGCCCTTCTTCGGATACAACAATGGAACCTATTTCTTCAAGTAAGTTTTCCTTGTATCAGATTGTCGTTTATTTTTTGTGATGGAACGGCAAACTTGCAGGTGGCTACCTGATGGTAAGCAATCAGCGCCGTCTATGGACACTTGCAACAACGAAGGAGTTACGGGTCCGTTGCCAACCGTAGGGGATTCGGGGAGGGGAAGGATTGGGACTTCGATAGCTTTACTTATTCAGCGAAACAAAACGCTGTAGTTGTTTCACCCCGTTTGCTTGTGAAGTCGTGGTATCACTCTGATCGAGCTGACCCATGGACGAAAATGCATGGCTCTCCCAAACTTAAAAAACACACGTTACTGTATAAATTTTGAAACACACATTTCTCCTCATCATCATTTACTCACCCTATAGCTGTGAATGTAATAAAGAAAAGTAAATTATTAGAAATATATATGTATTATTCTTCAAACTATAATATTATTTTCATTCCGGACACAAAATTGCTTAACTACAGGAAAAATATACTAATATTTTCTCTTAGATACACGCATAATAAAACTAATTAATTAAATAGATAACAACAATCTATTAGGTAACATTAACTAATGGATGTATTAAACATGAAAAGACGAGGAAACTTCAAAAGATTCTTTCTTTTTTCTTTTCTTTCCGACTGAAGCATTCTAGGGCACCGTCATAAAAATATTGTCATTACAAATGACCCATAAAATGCAAACGTTTCACATCAAACGACTACGACCATGGTTTCCGCAACAAAAACCGGGACAAACAAAATCTGGTTGAAAAAAGATTGAACGCGAAAATAGAAGTTATCAGTTCCATTTAAAGTCGTTTGAGCAATAACACAGATCGGGTCAGAGATACGCGACGACCGGCCGTTTGTCCTAGAAAATGGATTATTCATGGATACCGCAGTATCGGGACGATCTGTTGCTAAAACGTATGTTTGGACTCTTGGAAATTGTGGCTGGAAGTCGCAGTTACATAAAAGTTTTGGAATTTACAATTGACGTAAGTTACACAACCTCGTTAATTTTTATTGTGGACTTATACCTAATTTTTATTGTGAACTTATACCTGTAAATTCGTCTGCGTGAAATTTGAGTACTTACCTATCGGTTTTGCACGGGATCAGTAATTCTTTCAAAATTGTTTCCAGCAGCACTATAAAAGTTTGGTTTAATTGATATAGCCATTTGACTTATACAAATTTTAAGAAGTTGAAACGCATTGAATATACATGTATTATTATATTTTTATATTGAATAGTATGTATATATGTCAACAATATATATTCGTATATACAAGTAGTTAAAATCGGTTATTTTTGCATTACACACTGACACTCTTATTTTATTTATATGTATGTATATAGCTGTAAAGATGACGGTACTTAATCTGTATCAAATCTTAATACGTTTATCTTGGAAATTGTCTCTATATAAACCTATATCTGCTTGTACTTGCAGCAGTTTAAATACCTATATAATACTAGTTGTCCCCCACTATTTCACTCGCATTATATTCTAAATCGATCGGAGGTTGTGTAACTTCCCAACAGTGAATTATTTTTTTCAAATCAGTCAAGCAGCTTCGGAGTTATTTCAGATAAACTAACAAAAAATCATTCTTAATACATTACTATAGACTCAGACTATTAGTAATAGTAAAGTGTTCCAATCAGATTCACCCGTCATGTTGGCGTTTCAGAAATAAATATAATAATTTTAAACACTTTCAGAGTTAAACAGTAAAATATAACAATCTATAACTAACTATATGTAAATATCACTATCTACTAACAAGAGACGATATTGTTATCAACTAACCTTCTGTCATATCCACACCCAATTTACAGCATTTTAAAAATGCAACCTGCATCGTATGCACCTTTTTAGTGCTAAACTGTCCGCTACACCTTACTTTTAACATAAGCACTAAAAACGAGTCAAATGTAGGTGTGGACGCTTGCAGTGTCCGGTTGCACAATCCCATTGTTTTTAGGCGCAAACAACTTTATAAGGTTTATATTTCAACCGCGGTTAACTTTTTGTTTGTTAACTATTGTTTTAGTGTTCAATTTTAATTGTATTGTGCTTTATTAAGAAATATTTGTAAGTGTGGGAGATCCAAGCTTCTGCACGTATCGGTCGGCTCGACCGGAGTGATACCAGGGCCTCACAAAATACCGACGTGAAACAACCACAGCGTTGTGTTTCGCCGTGTGAGTGAGGTTACCGGAGGCCCAATCCTTCCCCTCCCCCAATCCCTCCCAATCTCTATATATCCAAAACCCTGATCCCTTAAAGATCGGCAACGTACTCGTAAGTCCTCCGTTGCAGGTAATCTGTCTCCTCGTTTGCCGACCTAAAAAAAAAGTTGAATCTATGAACGCAAAATGTAGGCATGACTTTGTTCTTCAGCTTCTTCTGAATGCGGAAAACGAGCACACTGATTACTTGATGGTAAGCAATCAGTGCTGCCCATGGACACAGACAATTTCGTAGATTTAGGGATTTGGGTGGATTGGGCCTCCTGTAACCTCGGATTCGAAACACAACGCTTTGGTCGTTTCACGCTGGTTTTCTGTAAGACGTATAACGCATATGAACCATTTGTGCCGAAGCTTGGATCGTCCAAAACCTTATAGTTAGTAGTGTCTTAAAATGCGATTTGATTTACTGATGACCAAACAGAAGCATCCTTTTTTCACAAAATTTACCTCCACGACAATGGTCCCACCATCAACACCATTTTTTATGTCACCATAAAAAAGTTAGACCATTTTACAAGTTACTAGCTCTATTCCCCGTAAACCCTATGGGATCGATACGTCCAGAAACTTATAAAAACTTCCCCAAAACATAATAAGGAGGCCATATTTCGTATGAAAGCATTCCCTTTGACTATAAATCTTTTATAAGAAAACTGAAGGAATATTATAAGATTAATACGGAAGCTTCTCTTCTAATATTGGCTACAAAATATATTGCGGCCACAATAAAGTACTTTGTTTATTTTACCTGCTTTTGAGCTCGGATTATCGGAGGCGTGACTAGTAAGCAATGGGTCTTAGGCTTTTTTTTTAAAGTAGTGAAAATCACCAGAATATTTTTCCCGCCCTGGGTTGATAGAGAGACAGAGAGAGTGTCAGTGCGTTACCGACAAAAGATCACCCTGTTTCTTCTCCTGCTCAGAAGCGAGGCCGCCGTATATTACTGCGCTTACCACTTCAATCTTGGCGTGTATTTTAGGCTAGACATCCAATTTAAGAAAAGGTTTTCTGTTATCAGCTTTTAGGCATTCCCAGAATATGAATGGTATCTGCACATGTACCCTGTTTAATGTAATAACAATCTAAGCTTATATGTGATATTAGTGTGCTTATCTAGTATACGCACACTCATATCACTGCCTTTCCCTTCTATGTGACTTATAGAGATCAAAATGTATGGTTCCACTTATTTGTTTTGCTTCGCTTTGCTATGAATAATACAGTACTTTTTGGTATATGTGTACTTAAAATTTCCTCACATAATGGAACCCATCTAAAAATGTAAAAACATAATATTTTATTCTGCTACTGATTCATAAAAATTGAAAATGGAATTTCTTGATCGCTCCTCTCCATAGGAATCTACACTTTGGAACGAGGATATCACTAGAAAGCATTGACCAGGACTGACTTGAAGTGTTTATTTTTATTATATCTCTAAAACTGTGTTTGACATTCAAGATTACCTTTAATGGTCTAATTGAAACACGCAATGTGACAGACTGAAAGTTGACAAATAATTATGAAAAGCAATAATAAAAATTAATCTGTAAACTTCTGCCTAACGCTTTTGGGAATGGAGTCATTTCATGTAACACAAAAATTGCTCCTATAATATTGACAACAGAATGTTGCCGCCAGGGACTAGGTGTGTTATTTATTCAATTCGTAATGCATACAATGTTATGAAATTACAATATTTTATGATGTGGGCTTTGTTTATTTTTATCTGTTTGTTTTGTTTTGCAACCCAAAGATTGTGTCGTTTAGGCTTTTTCGTTCGTTTTCAAACTAAGTGGGACTTTTTTGAACTCTGTGTTTTTTGAATCATGATTTTTAAGTAAAATAGTTTAAGTGTAGGAGAGCCATGCTTCGGCACGAATGGGTCAGCTCGACCGGAATGATTCCACGGCCTCACAGAAAACCGGCGTGAAATAACCACAGCGTTGTGTTTCGCCGCGTGAGTGAGGTTACCGGAGGCCCAATCCTTCCCCTCCCCCAATCCCTAAATATCCAAATCCCTAATCCCTAAAAGGTCGGCAACGCACTCGTAACTCCTCCGTTGCAAGTGTCCATGGGCGGCGATTGCTTACCATCAGGTAATCCTTCGGCTCGTTTGCCGACCTATTGCATAAAAAAAAAGATAGGAAATTATATTGAACTCGTCACTTGTCATTCTAGGAGATAGTCAAGCTCAGTGCTTTCCTAACTATTTGTAAGATTATTAATAATAACATCATTAAAAAAAACAGATGAATAGGATAAACTTTTATTAATTAGAAAACTATAAAAAGAAACGTAATTTAAGCCATTTAGAATTCAAAACATTCGTAGACTAGAAATTAATGAAGTACGTAATCGAATTATTCAAATTAGTTAGCTAAACTCATCGATATTGGCTATCTATTACAGGCTATCAGTCTATAAGTCTAGACAGACTATAGTCTATGATTAAGGTTTACTAATAGACTTTAATAATATCGTATTACCTAGTAAGACAAACAAGATAATTTTGATATACAAATCATTTCTTACGATGACCTAGTAGTCATAGATTTGAAGGTATAAGTTATCGAATAATCAACCGACTTCATCCTAGATATCACCTTATATCATGCATTATCAGAAATAGGCTGTGTTATGGTTTCAAAAAATATATATATAAATTTTTTTAAACTTACGTGCTAGTTAAAGAACTGGTTATTTATCTTTTCAATTTGTTTTTTTTTTTCTAATGTGTCTTAGTTT